AAGCATTACATTTGGCCTGACTATGTTCCTAGCTACTTGTCAAATCTGCCTGATTCAAGCTGGCTGCCAAGTTCACCTTCGAAAGATTATTTTTTTTATAGAAATTGATGTAGTTGGTCAATCTAAATGATCTTAGTGTCGATATGCATGTTTTCAAGCATGCTCAGATGATTTTTCCTATTTCTGATACTCTCAGGTGACCAGGTGACTTATTAGGCTTCAGTGGGTGTGACCTGTGCCCGGGTGGGCTATCCCTGTAAAAAAATAATCTGCTGAGTCACCGTGTGTCGTCTGGTTGTGTACATCGGCCCACCTCCCAGTGTATTGTGCTCTCACGTCCACACAAAAAAATTATATTATACCATGAGTCCATGACGCTTGAATAAAGTTGCTTTCATTGGTGTCAGATAACAAAATATGTACTTTCTGTTTAATATGGCAGGGGTCCTGGAGGGGTTGGCTAGGAAGTTAGGTAACGTGTCATGGTTCGGGGATGGTAGTGGTGTAAGAGTGGATTATATTATATTAAGACTATAATATGTTGTGTTTCTTATATTTCTTACCGTACCTACAGGAGATTATGGCGTATCTACGTAGAAGTTCACTCCACCACTCGACATTCCATGATTTATACTTGATAAATGATGATTTAATGAGTTCCATTAATTTCCAACACCATCTAAGTTACTGGTTACACTTTGTCATAACCAATCAGTCATTACCTTTAGTAATAATAAGAGAGGATCACAGATACGGGCAGATAATTGCACTTACATTTATTTGTCAAGTTTCCATACAATGACTTACAATTTACATGGATATATGAATCACTCACATTCACGCTGTAATAAAATTAATCCTCTAAAAGCGGGAATTTTCAACTTGGGGACACATGTGATTACTCTACTATGGGTATGACTTAACAGAACCTTAATTCTTCAAGTGATACATTTACTGCCAGACTGGATTGCTTTTGTTGCAACCAGGCTTTCGCACAAGAACTTCTTTCCACGGGCAATAACAACAAAAAGGTACTCTTGGGTTACCACACATAGTCTCGCGTCACTGACAGTCACTGTAGACGGTTGTCGCGGCAAGGAGAACTAGTAAGCGTGACTTAAATTAACAACTTAGGTTCAATAGACCAGCCTGGATTGCTTTTGTCGCAACCAGGCTTCCAGAAATATCACGGGGATAACAAACCTAGGTTAACACACTTAGTCACGTGTCACTGACGATCACAGGACGGAGTGGCTTTGGAGGACTCTGTGTGGTGTCCCGCTCCCTTCTGGAGGGAGAAGCTGGATGTCTTGGCTAACCCATGGCCAAGGGGATACTACTTAAAATGAGGTTTTGGGGCGTGAGGCG